AATTATAGAGTAAAAAGGTTTTAACTTCTGCTGACATGCCCATTATAATGGTTCTTTTGAAAATGTTCCTTTTTCAGGAACACACCTGTTAGCTTTGCATCCCTATGACCAAAATACTTGACGAAAACAACTCAGAGGAGGAAAAGTTTATTTGTATCTCATTCTATAGACAGCTTAGCCAGTGCACTAGACCTAAAGTGAGGCAGAACATCATGCCAAAGGGCGCAGCAGAAAAAAACTGTTCCGCTCCTGGTAACCAGGCAGGAAGGGTGGGGCACAGGATACACCTCCAGTAACCCACCTCCTCCAGCCACTCCCCACCCAACTACAGTTACCACCTACCACAGTAGTCCTTTCCAAGTAGGATGGACTGATTAGTTTACAGCTTTCACAATCCCATCAGTTCACTTCTGATCAATCCTGCTTTAACAGAGGAGTTTCAGGGGACACTTGATATCCAAACCATAACAACACCTAAAACTTCTTGCATAGACACTTTGAAATATTTGAGTCTAATTCTATTTTCTTTGGTACAACATTCACATTGCATGTTCATTTTAATTTGATATATTTCATGCAGGCAAAATATAGGTCAATTTTTGGACTTTTTATAGAACTACCCTTGTTCAATAGCATAGGAAAAATATTCTTGCAATTGTCTTTGCTGTACATGTTACATATACAGAAAGTAAGTCTTCTTTGAGAATGGGTATGTACACCTACCAATGTTCACTGTTATGCCTTTTGTCTTTATATGTCAATTTGGTTGAACACTATTTATGACTTCAGAATAAACTGCTCAGAATTTTTTTTAAAAAATCAAAAGATCTTTAGCCAAAACTCATTGAGAATTCAGATGCATTTGTATAATTGATTGTTCAATTGTCTCCAGATTTCAAATTTCATTAGGGTAAAAGCCGTGTCTTATATCTAAGCCATGTCTAGTATAATCTTAATACTTAACAAGGCACTTGACATATATCATGAACTCAAAAGTAATTATTTCAAGTATAATTGAATTAAATTGTTTTAATGTGTTTGCTGTGTATTATTTAAATAGATCACCATCTCCTGTTTACTTACCATACCGTATCCACTGTCTGTTCACTATGTAAGATTTAACAACCAAGCATATTTATGTGTGTGTGTGTGTGTGTGTGTGTGTGTGTGTGTGTGTGTAGATAGATAGGTATTAGCCTTATAGCAATCAGTTTTATTAGAGCAATATTAGGCAGTATTTATCAAACTCTTCCTCTGTTTCCTAAAATTCAAAACACTAGATATCCTTCTTGGACCTCTTAAATCTTTTATACTTATTAGAAAAAGGCAAAGACCAGCTCTATCAATCCATTTTCTAAGCTAAAATAACATTAAGTTATTTTAAACAGGGAGAAGTTTTATTCAGTAACATAAATGCTTTCAAAAACTTTGGAAGGGCTGATGGAGCAGAATATAGGCTATACTGCTGCAGGGACTCACAGAGCCATACAGAACTAGTTCCCTGGGGCATTTATCATTTCTGAGACTGCCACAGGAGCTCAGGCTGAAAAAATAGGCCTTCAATGCTACTCCGTAAAAGAGCACCAAACACTACTTAGAAAAGTCTCTTGTTTTCGAGATCTCACTGTCCAGCAACATGAGCCAGGAGCTGACAGAATTTAGCCTCTGTCTCCTTTACTCCCCTCCGAAATCTGGCCACAATACTTTTAATTGACTGAAACTCGTTTGCATTAAAAATGATAGTTGCAGAAGAGTTTGAGATATGCAGGTTTTTCCAAGTTAAAAAAAATGATAAAAATTCTAGTTCAGAAATGTACATTAAAATCAATTCCTTTTGTTCACAGTAGGAGAAAATTTATTGGGAAAGCAAAAGACTGAATTTAGAAATTTTAGGTATAATTCTAGCCCTAACACTTGTTAATGTGAGCAAGTCATGTGCTTTCTCTGAGGCACAGTTTACATCCTTTATAGCAACATCCAGTCCTCCTTAGAGAATTATCATGAGGGCCACATGAGAAATAAATGTAAAAACATTAAATAAATATTAATAAATTACAAGGACACATGATCAGTAAGAATGATTTTAAAAGTGGTATATAGCAATATAGCTGCTATTAGATATTTAGTGTTAAATGCATTTTATTTGCACTTCTTTTTGAAAAATGGTGGTATTTTTTATACAGGATATAGTTTACCATAATATCATTTTCCAATTAACAGAAATGTAATGTAAGTGGAAAAATGAAATAAGTCAAAATCTCCTGTAAATATTTGTGCCAGTATGTATATCATAGCATCGTAGAATTCCTAGATTCTTTAGGAGATATTGTTCTAATAAATAATAAAAGCTACATTTGAAACTATTCATTCTGTCATTTATATCTGTTTTATGGCATTTTGGGTGCTTCCTACATTTACATTGAAAAGCCTTTCAAATTTTGTAACTTTTGTGATCTTGTGTAAATATGAAGTTGGGTTCATTTTTTAGTTGGCCAGGTCTCTATAAAGTGGGTTTTAAGCTTCCAGACAGTAAAGAATGAAGCTTTCTAGTTCAGTAAGCCCCTTGATAACAGGAAAAGAGTTACTGGGGAATTGCTTTTCACTTTGTGTTATCATTTAGATTGAAAAAGTATAAACTCATAATTATCTAGTGTGATTTACTATTTTGATTGAGCTCCAGTTGCCAGTGTGATAAGATGACCTTATGAGCAGAATAACATTGAGCCCCCAGAAATCAATAAGTATAATAAAATCTTTTTACTGACCCTTCCTTCCTACTCACCAAATCAATTGCTTTTTACCTTCTGATTTTTCATGAAAAGTTCTACAATTCATTTTACTACCTGTCAAAATGAAACATCTTTTTTTTTAAGAGAGTGGTTTGATATTTCAATTCCCTTTACTGATTTTTTTCATTTCTTTGTTTCTAGGCACTAACATACTTATCTAATATTCCAGTCCCCCAATTTGGAATAAAACATAAATAGTGATAGAAAATGAGGACTAACAAAGTGATTATTAAAGATATTAGCGTTCATCAAGTGTTTTGTCATTCTTCAGATTATGGGATGAGACTTATAAAATCTCTGTATGAATCACTTGGAAAAGTAATAAGAGGATAACACATTTTTCTCCTTTCCTATGAATCAGAAGTAACCTCCCAGACAATAGTCATATAAATTCTATGTACCAGACACAGGGATTTGAACCCCCTTGAGCCTAGGTTCCTGGATTGGGGAAATTTGTGTCTCTCTCACATGTAATGCAGCCACAGCCTCACAACATCTTGGTTATTGGATGCTTGCTCATCCTCAAAATACTGCGATACTTCACTGGGCAACAGGAACAAACCAGGGAGAAGTAAGGTTTCTTCAAGTACTGTACCTGGCCCCCAGTGATGTGTCAGGGTTACACCAGTTACCTGCCCTCTCTGATAGCTTTCAAGTATTTTTATTACTGGACTTTTTCCAGCCTTGCCTCATATTGAAGATAAAACTCCAGGCCTATAAGTATAGTTCAGCAGTAGAGAGCTTATCTAGCATGTATTAGGCCCTGAGTCCAATACTCAGCACTGAAAAAAATAAATAAGTAAATACAATCTCTTGGAAGAAGTCTTTTTTTTTTCCTGCACACACCAAACAATGAGTTTTCCCTAGTGTCTAACAAAATACTCCAGCTCATTTTACAGCATTGATTTCATAATTCAGTCTTCCCACAGAGTCATTTATTGTAATAGTTGTTAGAAAACACATAGTCTTGATGAAAGAGAAGTGAATTTGGCTATACAATGAGGGTCATTTCAAGAAAGGAAGAATGATGAACACTTGTGAAATATTTAGGGCCCATCTTCTGAGCTGAGTGTGACATATGACTTAAGTATTGTAGACATGTGATCTATTCACTGCTTGTTTTTTTATACCAAACTGAATTCTTTTTCTTTGCTATGTACCATGTAATAGAAAATATAAATGGTGATTGTCAAGTCAACACTTGTGTGTTCTGTTTATTGATTCAATCAACCTTCATATATGACTGTGCATTGTAATTTATAACTTCAATTGATGAGATTCAATCCTACAAGGAGTCTTTATAAAGCAGATAAGCATTTAAAGGGAAAGGTATAATGAAGTAGAAATTAGAAAACTGCAGATCTATTTCATGTACCTAAAACTATAGCACCATTCTTTGACAGTGTGCTCATAATCTTGCTTTAAATTTATACCTGTTTTCCTTCAGAGTTGACTGTTTACCCAAGGTAAGTATCTCATAGTGAAGTGTATGCTGTATAAAAATAAATTGATTTACTAAAGCTTAAAACCAGGAGTAAAATCTTAACCTTTCTTTTTCCTTGTCGCTCTCTATCCAAAACATCACAGGAAATTAAATGGCATTAATAACCTGCCTTATAATCCAACCACCCATAATATAGATTTGTTTTCCACCTTCACCTAATCTGCATCATAGAAATATTTCCCTAAGATATGACTATGATTCATTTCCTCCCTTATAGTTCATGTCCCCAGATTCTTCTTGAAATAGAGTATATGTTAAGTGTACATGCTCATATTATGCAAATATAGATACTTCTAAATCCTTTTGTTTACCTGTAAAAGTTCATCACTTTTATGGTTCATACTTACCTTTCTTGTTTTGTACACACACATACACACACACAGAGAGAAATCACATGTTCTTCCCTCTACCTTTGGGCACTTGCTCAAATAATACATTTTTAAAAAATTCCTGTTTATCTGAAAAAAAGTCAAATTTACTTCCTATCTTTCCCCAAAACTTTCTGTATTCAAAATTCAGAATATCCACATACCATATGTCCCAAGAGATTATAAGCTGCAGAAAGATTATAAATTCCATTTTGCTAGTTCATTTTATATTTATTTCTCATACTCAGCATAAAATTCAGTGTATTCTCTATAGGAGGTATCTGCTTTTTAATTGATTGAATTGATCACATTCCATCCTGATGTTCTGACTTCTTTCAGGAACATGGCATACCGATCAACATGGGTTATGCTGTGGCCCCACATCACTCAGGGGTCTACCCAGTTCATATTCAGCTATATACGGCTTGGAAGAAGGTCTGGGGTATTCAGGTCACCAGCACTGAAGAATATCCACATTTGAAACCTGCACGGTACAGAAAGGGCTTCATTCACAATAGCATCATGGTGAGCACATACCACTGTATATCTTTGAAGGGTTTTGAGATTTACTCATGGATTGAAGACAGATCATCATTACCTTTAAGGATACAGAATCAAACTCCTTTTACATGAATTTCAGATATTCCCAGCCTACCATGGTGGTGACTGGGTCACATACGAATACGTTGTTTGGCTATAAGATTCCTTCCTAAGCTGTGGAGTGAATTTGGCGAGTCTAAGACAAACTAGAAATAGTGGAAATGAGTCTTGTATAGATTACCCACTGAGGTTTCAGAATTTAAATTTGGTCTAGTGAGGCTAAACTTCTCCTGAGTAATTCCTCAATTCTATTTGTTTGGGTAGTTTAACTGAGAGTTAAAGGCAGGCTGTGGTTCCATAGATCAAGAAAACTCTTCTCAAAATGCTGCACTGTCAACAGAAAGAATGGAATAAAATAGCACCTGAGAGCTAAATTTATCCACTCAATTTGACTCTTAGGGTACTTCTCTTTTTGTCCTCTTTTTTCTAGGATACTCCCAAAAGGGTGGTATGTATTTCCACTTTGTATGTTACAGAACAAATACAGAATGATATATCCATTCTTGTAAATGAGAATAAAACCATTACTTCTTGTAATAAAAAAAGATACTAATCAATTGGATCTAAAATGGTCTGTTTTAAAAGATCTATCTCCATTTCTTATAACTAGTTGTCAAACTCAGAACAACAGTTTATAAAATGTTCTCTCTTTTAAATATTTGTACTGTATCAATCCTTTATTCATATTGTTGTTACAAAAGTATGTATCTATCTATCAATCTGTCTACCTAATCACTATCTAAAATCAAAGAAAAGGCATATTCATCTATCTAGAGCTGGTATTCAATATTCATTTACCATGAAACTTTAATTATTTTATTGAAAATTGATAAAAGAATACCTAAAGAAGATGCTGACTCAAGTGACACTTGTCAATAATAAAAATAGTGACACAGATATCTCTAGGAATCTAGGAGGAATAAAAGAAATTACTCATATTATTTAAAATCACCATGAAACCACCCATTTTTTTCCTTTATTAGGTTGCATAACCATTCAATGTTTTATGAAATGAAAATATTCCCTTGAACCAATATTATATACATTCATTTACCTTGAGTTTAATCAGATTTATGAAAATCAAATGAAGAATAAATATAATTATAGCTACTCTGTTCAATTGGGTGCAATTTTCATTAGATTATAAGTAGTTTTCTCTTCAAAATAAAAATCTGGAATAAAATTACTTATTTGTTTTCTCTGTTGAACATTCAGATTTGCAGTGGAATTAATCACAAAATATGCCAGAAATAATCATTAGATGGTATGGCTACTCCTGTGGTAAAATAAAATTCAGAGTAGAGTTAAAAAAAATGTGGTGGGTGATGGTGATAACAAATGTCTATTTTTAATCCCAGAACCTGAATGCAATGGAAGACTAAATTTTAGAAACAAGGAGAGGAATGGCCTAATTGCACAAGAAATACAACCTTGGAGGCTCCCCATTTTTAAATTAATTCTAAAACAGCTCTTCTTTTTTAACCAATCGTTTAACATAAAGTCAGGTGGGACTTTACAGTTATAGGACCACGTGAAAATTATTTGCCCTGTAAATTCTGTATCCCTTAATATTTACAAAATTATACCAACATCAACTCTGTAAGACTTTGACCTCATCAATCAAGGCCCTTTAATAGGAATTGACATTTGCAGATTCTAAAGTCATAAAATAGCGGTGGATTTCTTAATCAAGTCATGCCCATGTGCCATTTTTACACCCTTTTCTCAGGTTCTCCCTCGACAGACCTGTGGGTTATTCACCCACACTATTTTCTACAAAGAATATCCAGGAGGACCCCAAGAATTGGATAAAAGTATCAGAGGAGGTGAACTTTTCCTCACAATCCTTCTAAATCCGGTATGTGTTCTATTTATGTATCTTACAATTACTTTGGTGTTTTCAAAATATTTCACTTTTATTTTTTAACTTGAATTATCCTTGTGTTTTTTTTTCTTTTTCATGAGCAGCATACTTTGAACTGACAATGGGTTGAAATTTGTAGTTCAAATCATTTTCTTGATAAAAGTTAACTTCTTTGGGTAGATCTGATTACAAAGTGGTGTTTTACTCTGAGATGTGATTGATGCAAAACTTATTTCTAGCAGTAAAAGAGGTGTTATGTATTCTACTTTCTTAAGCTAGTTCTTTTTTCATTTGGCTTTATTAAGGTATAATTGACACATAAGAATTTTTTGGAATGTAGAGTTTTCTATATATAAGACCACGTTGAATGCAATCTAGGTCAATTTAACTTTTTCCTTTTCAACTTGGATGCCTTTCATTTCTTTTCCTTGCTTAATTGCTCTGGCTAAAACTTAATACAAATTTGAGTAACAGTGGTGAGACTGTGCATCCTTGTCTTGCTCCTTATCTTAGAGGAAAAGCTTTTAGCTTTTCATCATATGATGAAGTGTGATGTACATGAACTTAGCTGTGGGTTTATCATATATTGGCTCTATGATGTTAAGATGCATTTCTCTCGAATTTGTTGGGCGTTTGTATCATGAAAGGATGTTGAATTTTCTCAAATGCTTTTTATTGAGATGAACATGATTTTTATTCTTTTTTCATTCAGTTTCTGTGGTGTATCTCATTTAATGACTTGGATATGTTGAACCACACTTGCATCCCTGGGATAAATCACACTAAATCATGGTAAAGGATCCTGTTATACTGAGAATTTTAGATTCTAAATTTATAACAGATAAATTTCCTTTTTGTTTTTGTTATTGTGTTCTCACATATTATTTACTTCAGTTTCTAAAAATGTTCACCATGCAAAAAGCTGCATTGAAAATATGTACCCATGTATTATCCTTTTTTTTGCCAAGGACATGAGTGGTTTATTTAATTTTTTAACTTGTTCTAATTAGTTATACATAACAGTAGAATGCATTTTGACATAACTTCTCATTCCTCTGGCTGTACATTGTACAGAATCACACCAGAAGTGTAATCATACATGTGCATAGAGTAATAATGTCTACCTTATTCTACTGTTCTTTCTATCCCCATAGCCCCTCACTCCCATCTGCACAATCCAAAGTTGCTTTGTTCTTCCCTCCCCAACCTCAACTGTGGATCAGCATCCATTGATCAGAGCAAACATTCAGCCTTTGTTTTCTGGGGACTAGCTTATTTCACTTAGCATATTCTCTAGTTCCATCCATTTACCAGCAAATGCCATAATTTCATTCTTCTTTAAGGCCGAGTAATATTCCACTGTGTATATGTACCACATTTTCTTTACTCATCTGTTGAAGGGAATCTAAGTTGGCACCATAGTTTAGCTATTGTGAATTGAGTTGCTATAAACATTGATGTGGATGTATCTCTGTATTTTGCTGACTTTAAGTCCTTCAGGTATAAACTAAGGAGTGGGATGGCTGTGTCAAATGGTGACTATATATTATTATCTTTATACAAAGATAACCATCCTGGTAATATAAGGTGCATTTTTAAATTTTTAACTAATTTTATTTCAAGTAAAAAACAGACAACTCGTGATTGGACCATTAGGGCTCCATTTTTGTTATAGTTTAGATGTGAGGTCTCCCTCAAAAGCTCACATCTGAGACAATGCAAGAAGGTTCAAAGTAGTAATTATTTGGCCCCAAAAGCTTAATCCAATCAGTGAAGTGATGGCCTGATGAGATTAATTGATTGGAAACTGAAGACAGGTGGGTTGTGGCTGGAGGAAGCACAGCATTTGGGGCATGGCTTTGGGGTATAAATTTGTATCTGGCAAGCAGAGTCTCTCTCTGCTTTCTGACCATCATGTGAGCTGTTTCCCTCTGCCACACTCTTCCATTATGCTCTTCTGCCTTATATAGAGCCCTGAAGAATGGAACTGGTCTTCTATGGACTAAGACCCATGAAACCGTGAGCCCTCAAATAAACTGTCCACCCCTAAAATTGTTCTGGTCAGATCTTTTAGTCACAGCAGCAAAAAAACTGACTAAATCAACCCTCAAGAGTGAGTTTAAAATATTTTTCAGGAGTGGGTATGCTTGCTTGCATGCAGAGTCTGTCTGTATGTCTGTCTGTCTCTCTCTCCTTTTTTTATATATATATATTTTATATTATATTATATAATATAATATATATAATATATATTAATATAATATAAATATATAATATAATATATATTAATATAATATATATGTATATATATATATATATAGAGAGAGAGAGAGAGAGAAACATATATCTATAATGTATAAATATAAATCAGAGAATTGGACACTTTTTTCTATAATTGTGTCCTTACATCTTTCAAATTTGCAATGATAGTTTTTTATAAATATATGTATAAATCAGGCCTCACTCTGTGGGAATATATTTTCATTAGATAATGTTAGCATTATTTAAGCTTTCTGATTTTTTTTCTCCCACAATGATTCCAATTTCTGGGGCTCCGTTAGAAAAGCATGTCTCATTTAGGTCCCAGGAAACATGAACAAGAAAGACATGAGATAAGAACATAACAGATAAGACACTTAATGTGGAAAGCAGATTAAAATTTAGCTAAACAAAACTGAGGGGGAAAAGATAATAAGCTGAAAATATTTTTTGTACAAATGGGATTTACACTGTGTCCACCTTGCTTAATTTAAGAAATTTTCTTAGAGAAAAAGATATATCCTTTAGATAAAACTAGAGCTTAATCATGGTGAAGCACCAGGTATGTTTGAAAGTATATTGTGTTAGATATTTATATATATAACATTTTAATTTATGAATATATTAAGAACATAAAATGTATGATTTTTTTCAAAATTTTTAAATTAGATTGGAGGGGTAGGAAATGGGGATAAAATGATTTGTCAGAGTGTAGTAAAAAACTTTGTTCTGAAAACAAAATAGTCTGTTAAATCACAGTGTTGAAATGGCACTAAACTTGGAACAGGAGCGTGATGTCCTGAGATTCTTAGCAGAGTACTTTATTTCTCAGACTTGCTTATTTTCCTGTAAAATAAACTAGTTGAACTGAATGATCTTCAGTGTCCCTCAGAGGTACTCCCATTGAACCCAAACCCAAGATAGTCCAACTGGTTGTAGATATTACAAATTTAGTGCCTTTTGTATGTATTTTAAAGGTACCAAGGGCATTATAAAAATGATTTTCAAAAACTTAGGTGCACATGTGTATATTAATGAAGCAAATGTGGAAATCTCTTTCTTTATCCCTTCCTTCGCTGAAATTTTAAACTCAGCAGAAGCAAGAGTCCCTTCATATCATTTAGTTCTTGGACTCTACTCTTGACTGCTCTTTGCTCTAGCATTTCCTAAGGGAAAGTCAGTATTCATCACAATATTGTGCCTCTCCTAAACCTCTTGCCCCATGTTTGATCGTTATTAGTGTTTACTAATTGGGTGCCTAACTACTTATTATTAAAAACATGAATTTATATCTCTCTTCTTAATTGTTTTGAATCCAGTGCCCTTCATAAAGCATAATTCTGAGACATAAATGTTGTCCTTTAAATGAGATAAGTTGTTTGGTTTCTAGAATTCCATCTTCAGCACTTATGAACTAACAAATGTATACTAAGCACTACTAGCTTCAATGAAAAGGCTCATCATCATTAACACATAAATGTATTTTAATTTCAGACAGAACATACAGTGAAAGAAGAGAGTTTCAGGAGGATTCTCATATCCAGTTGCAAACTTTACCTGTTTTAGCATTGTGACTTGATGGTGAAAATTTTTTAACAGATTAGAATAGATGGATAAAGGAGAGAGACCTGAACAGATAATGCAGAAAGAGCAATGCTAAAGATGGTCAATAGCAGGGATAAGATCATACATTCTAGTATAGCAATGTGAAATTTAGATCAGGGAACTGGTAGTCCACAAAGATGTGGGATTGAAAAACAATATTGTTTAAAACAAGGAAAGTGCATAACTACAAGAAATCCAAGTTGATCTTACTGAGCTCGTTAGGCAGACAGGTTACAGACAGCCTAGAGCACAGATTAAATGGAGCTTAGTTCCAGGGCTGCATAAGCATAAGCTAACAGGTGTTTTAGACAGGTTTCTCCAGAGAAATAGAACCAAGAAGACAGAGAAAGGGATAGAAAGCAAGAGTCAGAGACTACAGAGAGGAGAAAGAGATTGTTATAAGAAATTAGCTCATACAATTCTGGGGACTGTCAAGTTCCAAGATGCACTATGCACTGAAGACTTGGAGACCCAGAACAGGAAATAGTGTTTCCAATCTGAATCCAAGGCCTGAGAGCCAGGAGAACTGAAATAGTACAGATTTCAATCCAACTGCCAGAAGGCTTAAAATCAAGAAGATCTAAAGACTTAACATTTAAGTTAGAATCTGAAGGCACACATACACAGACACACAGACACACACACACCCACACACACACACAAATTCAGTGTCCTGTGAGGCGAGAGACAATTCCTTCTTAACCAGCTTTGTAGTTCTATTCAGGCCTTCAAGTGATTGGATGAGGCCCATTTACATTAGTGAAAGCAATCTGCTTTATTCTATGCCAGAGATGTGTACTGGACTTATTTATATACTGTACTCATCCCAAAACACCCTCATGGGTATACGCCAAAAAAATGTTTGACCAAATAGTTGGGCATTCTGTAGCCCAGTCAAGTTGACATATAAAATTCACCAATATAACAAATTTAATGTGGGAAGCAGATTGAATGTTAGCTAAACAAAATTGAGTGGGGGTGGATAATAAGCTGGGGGTTGTTTTTTTGTACAAGGGTTTTCTTTTGAACAGAGAAAACGTTATAGATAATGGGTTATCAACTATACTCACCTCAGTAATGTGGAAAAGAGAAATCTTGAGGCTGCTTAGCTAATTATTATTTCAAGTTTG